TGGAGGCCCTCTTGGGGGCCTCTTGGGCTGTCTTGGGCCAGCTTTGAGCCAACTTCGGCCATCTTGGTGGGTCCCTGGCACGTCTGACGCCGTCGGGAGCCGTCTTGGGGCCTTTCTGGGCCGACTTAGGGGCTCTCTTGGGGCGCTTCGGGGCCGTCTTGGAGGCCACTTTGGGCGTCTTGGAGGCCAGTTTGGGCGTGTTGGAGGCCTCTTGGGCCGTCTTGGGGCCCTCTTGGGGCCGTCTTGGAGGCCACTTGGGCCGATCTTGGGGGCCTCTTGGGCCGTCTTGGGCAGTCGGAAAGCCGAAAAGGCGCAAATTCCAAAATCTTTCAAAAAGCTTCTGGGAAATTAATGATTTTGGCCTTTTCGGGTCTTCCTGGAGGACCTCTTGGAAGCCTCTTGGGCCGTCTTGGAGGCCTCTTGCGGGCCTTTCGGGCCGTCTTAGACCATCTTGAGGCCATCTTGGGCCGTCTTGGATGCATCTTGGGGCCACCTTCGCCGTCTTGGAGGCCATTTTGGCTGTCTCGGGGACATCTTGGAGGCCATCATGGGCCATCTTGGCCGTCTTGGGACCATCTTGGGACGGAACAGGCATTGACTTGTGCAGTTTCCGGGTGGCCGGCGGGACGCGCCAGAGCCCCAGGGGGAGTTCTTTCGGAAAAAGAGCTTAAAACCAAAACCCATATAATTTGGCACCCTTGCGATGAATCGACAGGGGGCGGCGGATCGAATGGCCTTCGGCCCATCCCGCCACCGTTCCTGGGTTGTGGATCTGAGGCTTCTTGGTTGTTCGTCAGGATCGCGTCGAGGCCTCTCGGGGCATCCTGGAGGCAGTTTTGAGGCCTCTGGGTGGCTGTTTCGAGGCCTCTTGGGGCCTCTTGCAGGCCTCCTGGGGGGCCTCTTGAGACCTCGTGGGGTCGTCTTGGGGGCCTCTTGGAGTCTCTTTTGGGCATCTTAGCGCCTCCAGGGTGCCTCTCGGACTGCTGGCATGGATGTTGTTCCTCTTGGGCCGTCTTGGGGCCCTCTTGGGGGCCTCCTGGGCCGTCTTGGAGCGGTCCTGGGGGACTTTTGGGACGTCTTGGAGCGTCGGAGGCTCGAAACGTGGCAGACCCACAGAAAATTGAAACACCCCAGGGAAATTCGCGGTTTCAGCATGTTGGGGCCTTCTTGGGAAGGGTCTCTGAGGCCTCTGGAGACGTCTTGGGCGCTTTTTTGCCGATTGAAGGTATCTTGGGCGTCTCGGACTGATTGATTGGCGATTCGGGGCCCTCTTGGAGTGTCTTGGGGGCATCTCGGGACCCTCTTCGCCTGTCTCGGGGCACTCATAGACCCGCAAAAGCAATGCGATAAGGCGCGGGGAGTCCCAAGAGATTTGGCATGTTTGGGTCGGGGCCCCGTAAACATCTTCAGGATTGAGGACTGAGGCTTAAGGGATAAGGCAAAATCCTGTGGACGCGCCGCTTCTTGCCACAGCGGCACGGTGGCGGATATGCATAGATGGCTTCTCCTTCCCACCAGAACGACGATCACACCAGTTCTGTTCCTTACCTGCAGCCAGTCTAGCTGTGGCTGCAGTGAGAAGTTTGTACATACTATGTGAATCGGTTTGCTGGTTCAGTTTTTGATTTGTCTGCGTCGCCTCATGACGTCAAAGTTGGAGCTGGATGGTGATGCTTGCCAGGTGCCTATGTGCATGTACGTGCGTGCGTGCGCATGTATGTGCAAGCCCTGGGTCATCTGTTTTGTGATCACACACAATGCCTTCGCCCAATGCTCGCTTCCCTGTGCCATCATTCGGACCCGGAGATGGCCCCAGAGGGGTGGCTTTGCGATCGATCACGTTGTGCGCACTGGCCCGTCGGATGGAGCAGTGTGCGTGTGTGTGTGTGTGTGCGCGTGTGTGTGTGTGTGTGTGTGTGTGTGCGTGTGTGTGTGTGTGTGCGTGTGTGCGTTACCGCCCTGCCTGCGGTCGGCGGGGGAGAGCTGGTTTACCGTTTGGCGGCCGCTCTCTTCCCAAACAACCCGCCAGCCATCAGCGGCCGCCATTGTGCCGGCGTTTGGCTCGGACCTTGGAGCACCTCGCCCAGGCACATGCACCACCTCTTGGTCCGTCACGTCTCTGGACGTCAGTACAAGGCTCTGCAAGGCAGCATTGGCAACTGCCACCAAGCCTGCCTCGCCGCCCACATCGCCCACCTGGTCGCCCCCTCCCTGGCGCGACAAGGTCTCTCCTTGGGCTTGGCGCTTCCGTCCAGGAAGAGTGCTTTCCTGGCCCGCAGCGGGGACTACTTCGTCTGTAGCTGCGGGAGCTTCGGGGGTCATGGGGTCAGGTCTATGACATGCAGCTCGACGAAACCCGTCCCTTGTTCTAAGGTAGGTTTGCGTCGTGTGGACTGGCGGCGACCCCAGCGCCGACGTTCAACGTTGAACGCCGACGGCGGCCCAGAATCGGTCGATGTTGAACGATTGGACGTTGCGGAGACGGCCGATCGTTCAAGGT